CAGCTGGCACAGGAGTAGATGTGTGTGTGTGTGTTTGTCTATGCCTTTCTATTCGTGTGTCTGCTAGTCTGTGTGCGTCTGTCTGTGTGTGTATATGTCCGCCTGTTCGTACGCGTGTGTTTGTCTGTGTGTGTGCGTATTTGTGTGTGTGTGTCTGTCTGTGTGAGTGTATCTCCTTGTATCTGTATATATCTACCTGTCTGTGTGAGTGTGCCTGTGTATGTGTGTGCATCCGTGTGCGTATCTGTGCGTACACGCTAATCCTTCTCTTCGCGCCCAACTCCGCCCACCAAAGGAACAACAAACGCGGGCGTGAGTTCCGGAAGTTCCAGTTTCCAGCTCCTCGCCGCAGGGATCGGAGGAGGCTGTCCTTTCCAGAATGGAGCGTCGATTTCGGAATGGAATGGAAAAGCATTCTGTTAATCAGTGATGTATGGAAAACGGTCCGCTTATCAACGATCGGTATCATTATGGAGTATCGTAAGTGCGATATTTCCAGCCAAGATTTCTAAACATAAGGCTTTATGACGTATGTATTGATGCATACTCTGCCAACGAAAGTAAATCTGGAGAATTTTTTTTTTACACCTCTATTCAAACATTATGTAGAGGTGATATACACACTTTACGACAACGTCTACGATGTAGTCAATTTTTATTATTAAGTAATAAAAAAAGAAATCGTCTATTGATCCTTGGCTGCGCGTCTTATAATGCCTGATTCCGGGCTAAAGAAAAACGATAAAAATATCTTTTCCTCATTGTATTAAATCATCGACATGGTAGCGTATTGAGCCCTCTCTACTTCCGCAAGTTGCACCAACCACAAACCTCTCCCTCTACAGTATTTTTTTTTCTTTTTTTCTTTTTTTTGCTTGGGAAGGACAAGGAGAGGGGAAGGGGAGGGAAAGAGGAAGGGAGGGAGGAAGAAGAGGAGAGGGGAGGAGGGAAAGAGAAGGAGGGAGGGAGGCGAGGAAGGGAGGGAGGGGAGGGGGGAGGGAGGGGGAAAGAGGGAAGGAAGGAGGAAGGGAGGGGGGAGGGAGGGAAGAGGGAAGCAGAGGGAGGAACAGGGAGGGAGGGAGGGGAGGAGGGAAGGAGGGAAGCGCGAGGAGGGAAGGAGAGGAGGGAGTGGAGAGAGAGTGAGAGGAATGAGGGGAGGGAGGGAGGGAGGGAGGAGGAGGAGGGTAAGGGAGAGAAAATGAGGGAGGGAGGAGAGGGAAGGAGGCGGAAGGGAATAAAGGGAAGGAGGGAGGGAGGGAGTGAGAGGAGGAGAGGAAAGTGAGAGAAAGGGAGGGAGGGTAGATGGAAGGAGAAAGGAGATAGATAAAGAGAGGAGGGAGTGATAGAAAGAGAAGAGGAGGAGGAGGGAGATAGAGAGAAAAAGAAGGGAGGGAGGAAGAAGGGAGAGCATTAGAAATGGAGGAAGATAAATACGTGAATGATGGAGGGATGGAGGGAAGAAAAGAGATTGAGAAAGTGAGGAAGAATGACAGAAAAAGGAAAAGAGGAGAGAGAGGGAAAGAGGAGGGAGGAAGGGGGGCACACAGAGAGAGAGGGGAGAGTGATTAAGGGAGGGAGACAAAAAGAGAAAAGTCGAAAGGATGGATAAGCAAAAAGGCAGAGGAGGGAGACAAAGAAAGAGGAGGAAGAGAGGGAAAGGAGAGGTAGAATGAAGGGGAATTAGAGTGATGGGGAGATAGAGAAAGTTGGGGAGGGAGCAAAATTGGGAGAAAGGGGGAATGAAATCTATGTGGAGGAGGAAGAGATAGATGGAGAATTGCAAATGGGAGAGAAAAGGGGAAAGAATACTAAAACAGAGAAGGAAGAAAGAAAAAGAGAGAGAAAGAAGGAAAGAGGGGCAGAGAAAGAGAAAGAATGGAAACAAGAGAGAGAGAGAGAGAGAGAGAGAGAGAGAGAGAGAGAGAGAGAGAGAGAAGAGAGAGAGAGAGAGAGAGAGAGAGAGAGAGAGAGAGAGAGAGAGAGAGAGAGAGAGGAAGAGAGAGAGAGAGAGAGAGAAGAGAGAGAGGAGGAGGAGAGAGAGGAGAGAGAGAGAGAGAGAGGAGAGAGAGAGAGAGAGAGAGAGAGAGAGAGAGGAGAGAGGAGAGAGAGAGAGAGAGAGAGAGAGAGAGAGAGAGAGAGAGGGAGAGAGAAAGGGAGAGAGGAGAGAGAGAAGAGAGAGAGAGAGAGAGAGAGAGAGAGAGAGAGAGAGGAGAGAGGAGAGAGAGAGAGAGACGAGAGAGAGAGAGTACAGGCGAGAGAGAGAGAGAGAGAGAGAGAGAGAGACAGATGAGATGAGAGAGAGAGAGAGAGAGAGATGAGAGAAAAGAGAGAGAGAGAGGAGAGAGAGAGAGAGAGAGAGAGAGAGAGAGAGAGAGAGAGAGAGAGAGAGAGAGAGAGAGAGAGAGAGAGAGAGAGAGAAGAGAGAAGTAAAAGACCGAAACCAGAAAGAAAAAAAGAAAAAAAAAGTGAAAAAAGCAAGAAAAAAGCAAGAGAAAGACCCCACGCGAACACACACACAAACAAAAATCGATAGCAAAGCAGCAATTAAGAAGGCTGGACACAAACCCCGTGACACAAAGGGAAAACAACGAATAAAGGAGTTGTTTCAGATAGGTTTCCACGGGGGACTGGCGACCGAGGGCGTGAGAGAAAGAGGTGTTATCGTGGGCGCAGGTGAAAGGAATTGGATTGTCTTATCTCTGGGTATTCAGTGCGAGGTGTGTTATGTTATTCTTTCCGTGTTTGTTTATTCTTATTTCTTTCCGTCTTGTTCTTTATCTTTCGTCTATTTCTTTATATTGTCTGGGCCTTTTTATCGTTTTCTATTCATTGCTTCTGTTTTGTTTTATTTTGTTGTCTTTTTTTTCCCGCGAATCTTACTCAGTGTTTAATTTATTTACATACCTAGCACAGTATTTATCTTTCTTCTCAATTCTATTCAGGAATTATCTTTTCATGTATTTTTTTTTGTTCTAAATTCTAAATTCTCCATTTACTTTTATTTTACACATCATCTACCCGAGATATATATCAATTTATGAAATACTGAGGTAGAAAAGAATGAAGAGGATTTGAGAAGCTCATTAGTTGCTCGGAATGGCCTATTTTTCATGTAATGTGAAGTCTCCCTTGGCGCTGGTGGCAGCCGGAGCGGTGGGACTGGGCGCAGGGGGCGCAGGGGCAGGGGACGCAGGGGACGCAGGGGGCGCAGGGGACGCAGGGGCGCAGGGGCGCAGGGGCGCAGGTCGCTCGGGACATTATTCAAGACCACTCGGTACGAGATGCTGGCGCTCATGTTTGCAGATAGAGGCTTCGAATCCCCGTTGATGCTGCGCCCAGAGCCATCGGAGTGCGCTTAATGAAGAGAAATGATGATTGGAATGCATATGTCCTCCCGCAATAGAGGTGGATCTGAGGCGCTGTTTCCGTTCGTGTAAAAAAAAAAAAAAAAAAAAAAAAATCATGTACGTCATTTGGTTCAAGCACGGTGGAGTGTCGTTACACAACTATATACTTACATTCATACTCAAAGTGCACTCGGGATGTTTAACGGGGCAAGACTTGCATTCGTGGAAAAGGAAGCTCTACGTTATTTTCCTACTGAAAATAAGATAGCAAAAACCGTAGTCCAAGATCATTATAATCTCAGGACTTTTTTTTTTTTTTTTTTTTTTTTTTTTTAAGCCAACACCATTAGATTCTAAAATGCCAAAGCAATTATATACTCAAAAACAAAACCGTTGGCACAATATGGAATCTAATTTGATCTTATTCTGATATCAACAACCATGTTTTGTTCGATATTCGTCCCCTGTAACAACCGATTCAGCTGTTTGACCCAGTGCTTTTGTGATGATCAAAACGCGCAGGTATGTTAAAATAATAGTAAACAAATAATACGTTATCAGATACGAAAAACGAGATTAATGACTTGAAATCGACCAGATTCCCAAAATAGAGCTGGCCATTATAGACCAGAATTTTCGAGGCTTTGATTCAGCTCTTACCTAATGAACCGAGCAAATGTGAACGTGCTTGTCTGAGTCAATTAAGTGCCTACGTTCGCTGAATACGTTGTAGGCAACTCTTTCCACATTTCTTTTCTAATGAGAACGAAAGAATTTCAGGAATGTTTTGTTCTCGCTCCTGTAGTACGTCTAGCTTTTTTTTTTTTTTAATCTTATCATTATTATTTTTGTGTGTGAAAGGAATGTCATTTTGATGCACATAAGAGAGTAAGAAATAAAAGAAATAATTATAAAGATATAAAAATGAAAGGACGAAACGGTACTAAAAGGAAAGAGAAAAATTATGAGGAAATGTCAGGCTGATGCACGGAAGAGATTACGAAACAGAAAAATAATGATAAAAATATGTAAAAGAAATGATGTACCAGTACTAAAAGGAGAGAGAAAAAAATGACCAAAGAGGACTCTGAAAGTTACAAGTCGAGACACGTGGCTTTGATT